GATGGTCTCGATCTCCTGACCTCGTGATCCGCCCGTCTCGGCCTCCCAAAGTGCTGGGATTACAGGCTTGAGCCACCGCGCCCGGCCCCTCCTTTTTATTTCTTAGCAGAGAGTGAGGGTTAGGAAATAAAGGTTTCACAGGTCCCACGTTGACTTTAAAGACTCTATTAACATATTTTATATCAAAAATACCTTCTGTCCCTGAGAAGTATTCATCAGTTCATTGTTATGGCTTTTCTGTTGAACACCCCACCTTGTGGTTAGAGACAGTCTGATGATTTATTTTCTTTCTGTGTTCACCAGGTCAGAAACAGGAATGAGAGGAAAGGGAGAGAAAGAGGGTCCAACGTTTGTTTGCCTACTCTAGACATCAGATCAGGCATTTTATAATATATGTAAAAAGGAGCATAGAACATCATCTATGTTCTTACCCTTTTCATTTTTCGGATAAAGAGGGTTAATAGGAGCCAGAAGAGAGTCGCAGCCACACAGGTGCATGTTAGAGTGATCAGCTCCAGATTAGACTTGTCCGAGGTTCCTGGAGAGAAAAAAATCACAATAGTGGTGCAAAAAAGAAACTCCCAAACTCAGAATCTTTGTGGTTTTATAAAAGAGGCTCAGTTTCCCTAAATGGTTTATCATAGCGAACCCAATCTGCTGCCACAAAATCAGTCTCTGGGACAGATCTCTTACCTACTGAGCCAGGCAATATACATGAACTCACATAATGAACTCACATAGAAAAGGCTTTCCAGAAATTTTGCTGTCAACTTTGCAAACTTTGTAATTCCAGAAATAGCTAAATAAAAATCAGAGGAGAAATTAAAAATGGGAAAAAATTAAGGCAGGAACAAAAGCCTATTAAAGTGCTAAATCTGGAATATGTTACATCTCCCTAATGAGTTTTAGAGGAAACTCTAAAGAAAAAGACAAAATAATGACATAAAAGGGCTCCTTTGGGACTCACAAAATTCTTCGAAGTAGGTTTTAAAAATAAAAATAAATCCAGGACTGCCACAGTTGCCTGTTTGCTCCCTTTGGAACAGCCAGCCCAAGTGCCCACATCCCACTCCCTGTGTCTAGGGCTCTGTTTCTGACTTCATCAGCCAGACTGGGGGGCCTGAGATAGAAGAGGCAATTGCTAGACCTGAATCCTTCCCAGTCACCTTCTCTATCAGAATCACAGAGATCAAAAGCTGAGCACTATTCCTCCAAGACCAAAAAGAAAAGACTTAAAGTATTCAAGTCATGCCTCCAGAGAGGGAACTCTGGAATTTGTAAAGAAATGCCTCCATGGACCAGAACAGTATTAATTCTTGTGAGCAATTTCCCAGGAATTCTAAAGTAATGCCTTTATCCTTTAACTTAATTATAATGAGACAGAAGTGGCTGGGCGTGGTGGCTCGCATCTGTAATCCCAGCAGTTTGGGAGGCTAAGGCAGGAAGATTGCTTGAGCCCTGGGCAACATAGCAAGACTCCTTCTCTTAAAAAAAAAAAAAAAAAAAAGATGTGGTAGCACACACGTGTAATCCCAGCTACTCTGGAGGCTGAGGCAAGAGGATCACTTGAGCCCAGGTGTTTAAGGCTGAAGTGAGCGAGCTATGATTGTGCCACTGCACTCCCGCTTGGGCAACAGAGCAAGACCCTGTCTCAAAAGGGAGAGGGAGAGAAAGAGGGAGAGACAGACAGATAGATGTTTATATTAAGGAGGGCAAAGGACAAGTGAAACTTTCTTTTTAGAAATAATGATGTGGATGACGATCTAATTTGCTGAGCACTTATTATATTCCAAGCATGCAAAACTACCCTATGAAATCGGTAGCAGTAATACTCCAGTTTCATACATGAGCACTTCATCTTCGGGGCTTTTTGTTTCAATGCAACAAAGATGTATTGAGTTGTACTAGAGGCAAGGTTAGGGGCTGGAGGAGATAGAAAGATTAATGAGGGACGGTTGCCACTCTCAAGGAGCCCATTCAAACCTAACCAAGAGACTTAAGGCAAATACAAAGAAATTAGATTTTAAAAGATTTGGTGGTTGAGAGAATCTAATATATACTACTATCTAATAGTAATCTAATAATACTTTTTTGAAGAGGTGGCATTTGAAATGAATTTTAATCCACAGAGATGAAGGCAGGGGAGGGTATTATAGGCAGAGGAAACAGTAT